CATATCAGATACCCGGAGATGGCTGACTACAAGGTGTCCTTCCAGACCGAGCTTGAACAAAAAATCAGATCGCAAAATGGGGAGTCAAACAGTGAGCGCTCTTTCTGGGATGGTCACTCGACCACAGAAGAATACTCCACCACTGGAGTTCCCTCAAGTATGTATTCAGAAACGCCCACTGATGTTGACATTGAAAGTTGCAGCACGTCATCAAGAAACAGTGAGACACCAACTAGAAAAAGATTGAGACAGCCAAAACAATATGAGGATTATGTGCTGTTCATGGCAAAGAAACCAAAATATGATCCAAAATTTAGTGCATGTCTTGTGGTTCCAACCGAGGACTTGACCCCAGGCTGTATCGAGGAAGCAACTTCGTGCCCTGAGTCAGACTTCTGGATACGAGCCATGCTTGATGAATTAAAATCATTTGAAAACAACCAGGTGTGGACCCTGGTGGACCTTCCATCCGAAGCAAAACTAGTGGGGTGCAGATGGGTATTTAAAAGAAAAATAGATTCAAACGGAACTGTCATTCACAGAGCACGACTGGTGGCCAAGGGCTTCACCCAAACCCCAGGCGTGGATTGTTTTGAGACATATGCACCCGTTGTAAGGAGAGAAACGCTCAGACTATTGTTCTCAACAGCTGTCAATTTTGACTTGCACATAGGGCATCTGGATGTGAAGACAGCTTTCCTTCATGGAGACCTGGAGGAGACAGTCTATATGTGCCAACCAGAGGGTTTCTCTTTAAGTGGCCAGGAGAACAAAGTCTGCAAACTGCGCAAAGCTGTGTACGGTTTGAAGCAGGCAGCCAGAAGCTGGAACCAGAAGGCAGACAGTGTGTTAAAGGACAATGGTTACAGGAATTTTCCAGAGGAGCCCTGTGTGTACATTAAAGAGACAAGTAAGTCTATTATTATGGTCGCCCTGTATGTAGATGATTTTTATGTGTTCTTTAGCCATCCAGAATTGAAAGATGAATTGCTAAAAATCCTGCGGGTTCAGTTTGAGATTAAGGATCTGGGTGCTGCTAAAAATTGTCTGGGAATAAGATTAGAAAGAGACTGGAAAAATGGATCAATGATACTGCACCAAGAAAATTATGTAATGGATGTATTGAAAAGATTTAATAGTCTTGACTGTAAGGGACATAAAACGCCCATGGAAAGCAAACTCAAACTCAGTGCTATGGGACCTGGGAAGAAAAAATCGTTACCATACCAAGAGCTAATGGGATGTTTGTTATATTTAAGCATGAACACCAGGCCAGATATTGCATATTGTGTTAGTTTCTTAAGCCAATTTAACAATTCCTATACCACTGTTCACTGGACCTTAGCAAGGAGGGTACTGGAATACCTGAAGGAGACACCCAAAAGGGGTTTGTTGTACACCAAAAACAAGAGTCCGAGTCTGTGTTTGACATCCTTTGCAGACGCCGACTTTGCAGGCAACCCAAGCGATTATTACTCGTACAGTGGGTTTACCTTCATGTTCGATGGGAATCTTATCTCCTGGAGCAGCAAGAAGCAAAAACTGGCAGCCCAGTCTTCGATGGAATCTGAGTACATCGCCATGACTGAAGCTGGGAAAGAGTCGGTGTTCCTGAACGACTTGGTAAATGCTATTTTCAATTGTGGCCTGCAAACCATTAAATTGCACAACGATAATCAGAGCGCCATCACTGAGGTGAAAGGACATAGTTTTACTGCTAGGACAAAATATTTTGGATGCAGGATGCAATTTCTAAGAGACCTTTTCCAGGACGGAATGGTTGACATTGAGTACATGCCAACTGAAATTATGCCAGCTGATGTCCTTACAAAAGCTCTAAAGGAGGATGGCCATGAGAAGGGTTGTAACCTCCTGAAGATGTATATATAAAAACCTAATTCTATTTTTGTCTCAAGGTACCTTGGTTAAGAGGGAGCCTTGCTCATCAATGTGCTCGGATTAAGAGGGAGTGTTGTGAATACTGTAATCCTCACACTTATTACCTATCTTATACCTATACTGTACTTTTAAAGTTCCCGCTGAATATATCCCTCATACTGTGTAATTAGTCTCATTAGCTAATTCTCATAGTGCAAGTGTCATGACTCCAGCTCCAGTAGAAAAAGAATAAACGCTTCACTTCCTGTCCAGACTTCACCGTGTGTGTGTCCTTTCTTTGCTCCTGCCCATCTATCGCCCAACATCGTACAAATACGGATAATTAGAACTCTGTTCAACCTAGACTACAACATTTACTGCCCAAATAGATAGCTTGTATTGCATTGGCTACTGTGGCAGTCAGGTCCGGAAAATATTGAAGACTGCTTTGACAAGGACAGAGGTGAATGGAAGTCTCTACGACCACCCCTTGACCCTAAACATTTCTATGAGTGAGTGAGTGAGTGCGTCAGTGAGTCAGTCAGTCGGATTGGGGCTATATAGGTTCTTGATCATGATTGATGATGATGATTTACCCCATTGCCGGTGGCGGGGACCCGACTGCAGCACAGTTTCGGAAATTCTCGACCAGACCTACCGATGGGGCGAATAAAATTTTTTAGTCAGTCGGTCCCCTTTTTAGAAGATTGAGTAGGTTTGCTCGGAAACGGTGAGGAATTTTTAACTTTTGGGATTATATCCCATTTTCCCATAAAATTTGGAATCGAATGGAAAGAACCTCAAGTCTCTACGACTATGCCTTGACCCCAAACAAAGTGAGTGAGTGAGGGAGTCAGTCAGTTGGATTTAGGGGCTATATAGTTTCTTGATTGATGATTTTGAGGACGTTCCCGTTGACGGGGACCCGATTGCGGCATAGTTTCAGAAATGTCTCGACTTGACCTGTCGATAGTGCGAATAAAAATTTCAGTCGGTCGGTCCCCTTTTTTTGAAGATTGAGTGGAGTTTGTTGATTTTAGGCCTATTTAATCGTTTTCAGGACGTTCGCGGTGACGGGGACCCGATTGCGGCATAGTTTCGGAAATGTCTCGACCAGACCTACCGATAGAGCGAATAAAAATTTTCAGTCGGTCGGTCCCCTTTTTTGAAGATTGAGTGGAGTTTGTTGATTTTAGGCCTATTTAATCGTTTTGAGGGTGTTGCCAGTGACGGGAACCCGATTGCGGCACAGTTTCGGAAATGTCTCGACCAGACCTACCGATGGGGCGAATAAAAAATTTTCAGTCAGTCGGTCCCCTTTTTTGAAGGTTGAGTGGATTTTGTTGAATTTAGGCCTATTGAATCGTTTTGAGGATGTTGCCGGTGACGAGGACCCGATTGCGGCCCAGTTTCGGAAATGTCTCGACCAGACCTACCGATGGGGCGATAAAAAATTTTTAGTCGGTCGGTCCCCTTTTTTGAAGATTGAGTAGGTTTGCTCTGAAACGGTGAGGAATTTGGTCCCCTTTTTTTGAAGATAAAGTAGGTTTGCTCGGAAACGGTGAGAAATTTTCAACTTTCGGGATTTTTCCCAATTTTCCCCTAAAATTTGGAATCGAATGGAAAAAACCGCAAGTCTCTACGACCACTCCTTCACCCCAAACATTTCTATGAGTGAGTGAGTGAGTGAGTCAGTCGGATTGGGGCTATATAGGTTCTTGATTGATTATTACATTCGGAAAATCAGTTTACTTGGGGACGAACAGTGTGGGGTACATATTGTCCCGGGGACGAAATGGGGGTTACGAATAGTCCGGGCACCAATTTTCGGGGACGAATTGTCCTAGGCCCCAACTTCACTTGTTATATGCGTCGGAAGATTTCCACCGTTTCTCCAATTTTATTTCGCAAGAAATTGCGGAAAGGCTGCCTGTGCACCGTCTTGACTCTTCGTTGGCGTTGGTAAACATGTCACACCCTTGAAAGTTACGCTACACACTACAAACGTAAGTGTCCACACTTCACACTTACAGATGCTTGCCTGCTATAGTAACACACTTGCAACTTCATCTGGCTTCTGGCTCGCTTCCCTCGCTCGCTGGAGTAGCTTGAGTTCCCTTATTCTGAATTGTAGCTTTGAGTCCAAACAGAAGAACAGTTTCCAAGAAATTAAGGCTCTCTCCAAATTCATTCAATATATTATATATATATACTAGGTATGTTATAATTTTCACTGTTCTGCGTCGGTAAGAGATAAATGAACTTCTGTACCTCGGCGGGAGCTTACGCTAAAGTTCGTCTTTAACATGTGTTTTAATTTGTTCAAATACTCCTGTCACAATTTGTGGGCATAATTTATGGGCATTTTACTTTCTCATTAACAAATTGCAGTGCAGGGTTTTCATATTTTTAAACGTTCTGAGTTGAGGACGTTTACGTAAACTTATAGTCATTTCTCTCAAATTCTCCTCGGACATGGCAAAAGGTAGCCACCCTTTAAATTCTGTTAAATGTATCAGTTTTGAATAGGTAAGAGATAGCGTTGCCCTTTTTCAAATATCTCCCTCAACTTTCCTGGAAACTCCCAAACTAAGGCCAAAATGTGCTTGAATTGGAAGAAAAATGAAACTTGCCTAGTAAAATAGCCTATACTGGGCTGATATATTCAAATTAGCCAAAGCTCTTTTTCTTATGTCTTTGAAGGTTCAATTGCTAGAATCTGAGGTATAAATCCTTTTCCTTTGTCGTGACAAGAATTTGGGAGAAACGACTAAAAGTTTCTGGAAACCACCTTAACTCAGAGACTCACAGGAAATGGGTCTCCCAGCTTTGGGAATACATTCATCTTAACGTTGAATTTAAACCACAAGACGTATCAAATATTTCTCATCGATACCAATTTCACTTTACAGTATCCTTTAACTTTTTGTAAAACTTCGTAACTTACTTGTCAGAAACTAATAAGAGTTGTGTCTTCTATCTTTAAAAATAAATTCATGTAATAATGACAGATTGTTTTAAATCAAAAGGAACTGGGTGACAAAAATTTTCAGGAGATTGGTATCTTATCTTCCCACTGAAAAAGAACTCGACAAAGTTTTTTCTTAAAGTTGTAAAATTTACTATTTATACGTTTGAATATCACAAGTTTGAGTAAGAGGTGAAGAGGGCCACGTCTGCGGATGGAAGGTGAAACACATCGGCACTCCCGTGCTTGCTGCCATTGGTGCTACGTCGTGGTGAAAGGTGTAAGGTGTTCCAATTGATGATGCTTCGTGGTGAAAATTGTAAGGTGTTTGAACTGATGCTGCTTCGTGGTGAAAATTGTTAGGTGTTTGAACTGATGCTGCTTCGTGGTGAAAGTTGTAAGGTGTTTGTGATAGAGGTGATGAGGACCACGTCTGCGGATAAGTCAGACGTATCGGGTCTAGCAGTGTTGGTGATGATGATGATGATGACGACGACGATGGTGGTGGTGTGTTTGCCACGCTGGACTGGCGGCGTTTTTTCTTCACGGACCTCACACGTTCTATGGCTCTGGTGCACTGCAATTTTGATACGAAAAATATTGTTAGGGACACACTTCAATGACTTGGGAAAAGTGCACGTGCACGGACCAACCAAGGGGTTGCCCCTCGCGCTAAAAAGGCTAACGAGGGTTCCTATTAAAAATACCTTCATTGACCGTTTCCGTTCAAAAGGTCTTGTCTGGTCGTTTTCTAACAAAGGCGATATTGACCTATCTCACATGGCACTTTCTTTTGGTTGACCAGTAGGGACCGACACCCTGAATACCCAAACCAAAGGATTTTGAAAACTATCAAGCAGTTTAGGATTTTCAATTTTAAACTTCAATTTTTATAAGTTTTAGTTTACCTTCACTAAAAATTTTTTTTGAACGCCAGTGAGGGTTTTGACGCGTGATTTCTTTTCTGATAGGTCCGAAGAAGGTTTTTAGTGGGTTAAGCACTCTGGTGCTTCCAATTTTTACTTACGCACACTTATCTAAATTACTAAATATTTGCGCTCCTGAAAATGGGTAGTCCTGGATTTGTCTCATTTTTGGGTCAAATAAAGAAAGTGAGTGGTCGAACAAATCCCTGAAATAAGACCTTTGACTTGGGCACATCTTCAACTTTTCGAGAAGAGAAGTTGATTTTTCATAATGAACGGTTCCTCAAAAAGAATATGAGCACGTACAGTTCCTTGCCTTATGAAGTTCTAGGACCCAAAATGAGATGAATACGAATAAAAATCAATTCAATAAGAAGGTAAGAGTCATACGTCACTTTTTTAAAAATGCATTCATTATTGCTTAATGGCTAGCCAAGTTTGGAGACAACGATAGAAATTTCAATGTAAACCACTGGTTGTGTGAAACTTCAATTCATATAATTATACCTTCAGAAATATTGACATATAACTCCTTTCTTCTAATTTAATTGATTCTTACTCATATTCGTCCATTATCAGTCCTAGAACTTCATACGAGCTGAAACTGTTGGTGCTAACATACTTTTAACAAAACTGTTTATTGTGAAAACTCAACTTTTCTTCCCGTAAAGTTAAAGATGCACTCAAGTCAAAGGTTCTATTTCAAGGAAATGTTCAACCAAAAACTAGGAGTTATATGTCACAATTTCTGAAGGTTTTCTTTTATGAATTGCAGTAAGTTTTAGCTCATGAAGTGAAGCGATGGCACTTACCAAAGTTAAGTCGTGATCCACTAGATGTTCCTCAGGACCCGTGTCGACCTCCATCAACGCGTCAATTATGACCTTCGAGGGAAGCATGTTCAAATTGTCGAGTGCCTTTCGCTTGGCGCTCGCCCGTACGAGTTGCCGCATAGCCACGGCGTCAGACATGCGGTGGCTTCTGCGTGAGCCGTCAGGCGCAGCCGTCCCCATGACGTGTTGAGTGGTGCCACCCCACTTGATGAAATTGTACGATTCATCGGTGATGAAGGCAACATAGCAATGGCTGGCAGAACACCTGGAAACATAAAATTGTTGTTAGATGACAATAATAATTCTCTGAAGTACGAAGGTACCTCAACGTTGCCGAAGGGACCTTCGTGAATTCACGGAAATTAAAATTCTTCATAAGTCCTCGATCATCCATAGATCAAACAGAAGATTCGTCATAAGTTCCCTCAGAAACTTCGTGAATTTACAAAGGTTCCTTCGGCAATTTTTTTTTCTGAAGTACCTTTGTAAGGTCCCAATTTTTTTTCTATAGATGAAGAAAAACACACGAATAAATTTGGGACAGCCAGGCCCCCAACCTAAGGTCATATGGAAGATAGGTCTGCGCAACCGAGATGCATGCTGGGAAAGCGGGCAGCTTATTTACATACCGTGGGCGATTCAGCGCGGTATGAGAATTATGGCGGTCGGAGCATCCCCGCTTTACGGGACATGTGATTTGGCCACTATTCTAGTGGACTCCCATGTACCACACACCCAATGTGTCCTTAAATTTCAATTTGAAGTCATTTCCGAAAAAAGTATCAAAACGACTTGAAATTGTAAGGATTAGAAAAAGAAATTCTGTTGAAATGTCAAGATAATTAATATTTTCTTGTTAACTGACTAAAAGGGATAGTGCAACAAGCTGCAATCCAATTTGTATGTCCTTCTAGACTTATTTTTTTTTGGGGAGGAAGGGTGGAAACTCAATTTTGGTATTAGAAGGAGTGATGAGAGAAACCACTAAATTTGTTACGTTAAACTTAACACATCAGAAACTTCGAGGAATATAGTGGTTCTGTATAAAAATTTGAGTTTCATCTTCTCTGATTTAGAGGAAGTTGCGGATTTCTTAAGAAAAAGTTTTCAAAAGTTAGCGACAAGTTAATGTTAATTAACTGTTCAAAAGTTAGCAAAAAGTTTACGTTAACTAACTTGTCGTAAAGGTTGGAAAAAAGTTCCCAATTTTTTTTAAACCATGTATGATAATATTTAATAGGCAGAAATGTTTTTTACCTTCTTTGTAGGTGCACGATAAGTGTACACCACACTACTTTGATATTGCTGAAAGTGATCAACACCTAAAAATTTTATAAGTTAAAACTTTTTAGTTTTCTTGATCTCAACGACCATTAACAATATCAAAATAGTCCTGCTTACACTTGGAGTTCTCCGAAAGACAAGTTCAAAAACATTTTATGTTCAATCATGTTCAATCAATGTTCAATTATGTTCACCTAATGGTTACTTTAAAAATGAGGCTCACAAGATTTTTTGACAAGTCAGTTTACGGAAACTTGTCGCTTTCATTTGATCTCTCTCATAGAGGATATCCTCACTTCCAAGAAAGTGGAGCTGCAATTTTGGAGCAGTACATCTAAATTATTCATAGTTAACGGACCATTAACGGGATAAAAGGTCATATTTTGACCACCAACAGGCTTAACACCCCTTAAAATGAACATGTAAAGATGTGTTGATTTTTCATTGATCTAAAATATATTTTGAGGACTCAGCAGCATTCTTGACACACGCTAGTGTCTACTGCACGGAAGAAGTGGCTATCACCTGTCCTACCTTCCGTGTCCAAGTCCCCTGGAGCGGGAATGCTCCGATCGCCATAATTCTCATACCGCGCTGAATCGCCCACGGTATGCAAATAAGCGACCGGGCAAGCCGGCAGGCAGGCGGTCCTCCGCTGCAGCCGGCGACGGATTCGGGAGGGATTAGCTGCCCGGTCTCCCAGCATGCATCTCGGTTGGTTGACCTACCTTCCATATGACCTTAGGCGGGGCCCCCGACCAGGGGCCGAATCAAAGCACTATACGTATTGCAAAATTAGGGGAACTCAAGGAGTGACAACCATTTGCACCTTGGTAAGTGAGCTGATGCTTAAAAAAATAATAACATTGACCCATTATAAAAAAAATTCTACAAAACAATTTAAAATTTTTAAAATTTGCTGGGCGAAACCGAGGATTAGTCAACCAACTTTCAGAATTCTATGGCGAACTGTCTGGCGTAATCCTGATTGGAGATCCCGAGGAAATTCAGAAGAACACTGGTTGCCAAATGAATGTGACACAGGTGAACGTGACATCACATTCCTTTGAACGTAACAGTGAAAATTTACGGTGAAACCAATGTGACAAACCGCACCGCTGTGTCACATTACTTCGGGTGTGATACGAAATGAGCAGACGAACCGTCACATTACAACGAATAGCGAATGTCACTCGTGGTATTACCCATTGGCAAATGTCTTGTCACATCCAAACCAATGTGCCCGAGTTTCTGCGCACCTTCGTCGCCTAGTCTAGACTACTCCACAAATCGAAGAGCGTTATAATACATACATGCCTGATGCAGGCAACTCCCTATCCCTTATGCACTAGATGCATGCTTCAGTTAGCGTGTACATGGCATGTATGCACTAGTAAGTGCATGCTTGGCAGGCATGCGCTAGCTAGAGCGTGCTTGCTGGCATGCTCCAGTTAGAGCATACAATGTACGCTCTTCGATTTGTAGAGTAGCCAGCCACCCCGAGCTCGGGGTGCACTTATCATTGAGCAATATGCCTTCACCCATGGCAGGGCAGGGCTCCGAAACGGGTCACAGACACTATGAAACACCTTGACGCACCACTGCAACTTTACTTACTTCCACCGCAGGATTCCTGCCCCTGAGCCTTGACGGCGGAGGCAGAACCGGTAGTTATCCACGATGAGACACGGGTTACCCCGTTCAGTGGCACTGACTGTGATGAACGCCCTGCAGGGGTCTTCCATGGCGAAGTACGTATCTGCAAAGTGACAGAAGGGCAGCAAAGTAGCAACGGCAGCGCGGCGAGGTAGGTTCGGCAAGCAGCGCGGGGCCGCAGGCCGTGTGCTCAGGTCGAGTGGCGAAACGGAACTGCCTCCAGTTGCTACTCGTTGTTTCCAGGTAAACACGGTCTCCTCCGGCAGGTGTGCTCGGTGTGGTGGCCTCGGCCCCCTGGTTCCAGGAAAGGTTGGAAACTGGGCCCCAACATGCATCTTTTCAGAAGCGTGGTATATATTTGAGCGCACGGCGAAAGCGGTTCCTGGTTTTCCCAGATAACGCCCTGGAAATCGCCAACCTGCTGGGAAAACAAGGAACCCTATTGCCGTGCGGAAAGGCACAAAATTCGAGCCCACTCACTAAATTACCATGTTCTTTTTTGTGTACAAGCTATGCACGAAGCTGTGAATAAGTTTCAAAAGACACGAATTCATGCGCAACTACGTTCGTAAATGTGCGTTTTAGCGCATGAAATTCGAGCGTTTTGATACGCATGCAGAGTTTCATGCATAGCTTATGCACAAAAGCTGCATTGTAATTAAATTCATTTTATTCAATTATTTCCGTCAACTTACGCAGACACACAAAAAACGTCTAACACATCAAACACATTTGAGCAAAGGGAAAGTCAGGCCACAACACTCTGCATAGAACATGAAGCACTCAATTGAAAATAGTTTACAAAGAAAATATTTAAAGAGAGTTGAATTCAAAAAACTAAATACCTAAAGACGACTATCTTATTTAGAGAACTCCTGCATGGAATACACGGTAAAAACTGTTCCTGGTTTTCCCAGGAACTCCCTGGAAATCGCCTATGTTCACACTAAATGTTAATGTAGAATTTTGTACGTCGTGATGCACGATTTTAAACCTGCGTGACGTTTTGCACAAAATTGTGCAGAAATTCGCATAAATTTATGCATTTTCACGCATAATATTATGCAATTTCCCCGCATGCACAAAATCGTGCATAAGGCACGTACAAAATTCTACATAAACATTTAGTGTGTTTCTACCATGGGCTTCCTGCGAAAACCAGGTACACTGTGGCGAAAAGCTACGGAAAATTCTGTAAACAGCTTGTGGTAATCCTCCGTAGCCCCCTTATCAATATTCTCTGTAGGCTCTTACAGTATTCTCCGTAAGACCTTACAGTAATCTCCGTAGGACTATACAGTCTTCCAGGTCCTACGGAGAAGACTGTGTGGACTTACAGAGAATACTGTAGGGCCCTACGGAGAATACTGTAAGAGCCTACGGAGAATATTGATAAGTGGGCTACGGAGAATCCTGGCAAAAAAATTAACAGAATTTTCCGTACCTTTTTGCCACAGTGTACTGTTTTTACCATGTAGTACTTCATCTTGTAACCATAATTTGAAATTTTTTAGAAACACTATCGTTTCTTAGTTTCTCTCGTACAATGCCTGTAAGGCAGTGTCTGAATGCCTGAACCACCAATTGCAATCTTAAGTCGAAAACAACGCAGAGAAAGGACATTGGGGTATCGCGGATGTTCCCAATTTCCACCGGAGTACGATTCAAAATACCTCAAGTATGTATGAAAGCGTACCAACAGTTCTGTGTCTTTAGCACGAGCGATGAGCGAAGAAGAGAAACAGGCAGGGCTTACCGGGGCCCGACCCGCCGGCAGCTTGGCTAGCCCTTTCAAATACGCACACTCGAAAAAGCTTACGAAGCATTTGCTTCATAGCTACAGAGCAAAGGAAGGCATTGTGGAAATGCTTCGTAATACAGTATACGAATGATTTTGCCTCATACACTGCAAGGAAAAGCTACAACTAAAGTACACAAATTACTGGAATATTTTCTATCAGGAATTTATTGTACTTTCAAAGTACAACAATTGTTGTACAGAATACAATGGATCCGGCGGCATGACGAGTGCTAGACAGTCCCGGCCTCGTTGTACTTCATACAATCCCTGATGTACTTTTATTGGACAGTTTTAGTTGTACTTTTGTTGTACTACTATTCACACTTTTTCTTGCAGTGTACCAATAAGAAGCATTTCTTCGTAAACTTCACAATGCCTTCATTTTCTTCGAATGACGATGCGTTTCTTCACTGTGAGAAAAAAGTACGGAAAAAGTACGGAACATGTCTGGTCAATAATTTGCCGGGACCGTCCGTACTTGCCAACTGCGGAACGTTCCGTACTTTTTTGCCGTACCCATTTACATGGGTTCATGGAGCAAGTACGGAACGTTCCGTACTTTTCTCCGTACCTCCGTACTATATTTTTCTGTACCATTTCCGTACAAAAGTACGGAACTTTTTTACAGTGTTCGTATAGTTTTCTTTTACTGTGTAGGGATCGCGATACAGTGAGCGCTAATTGACTGTGGTGTAATTCATCAATTTTAATCATGCTTCGGCATATGTGACACGTGACTGTCTAAAAAGTGCAGTGAATCCTGCCCACAAATTACAGATTGCACGACAAGCAAGCATGAAAACTGACGGGATTTAGTGAAGGTTTTTCTTTTTGACTGTGCACTTGGCCGGCCCGCGCACTCCGCCTCTATTTTTGCTGACAGTACCGAGAACCAGGAAGCCTGCGGGCCGGCCCGGTGGTGCCTCTGGAGCTACACTGGGGAGGCCCGCACGGCCACCTCGGCGACAGCTGCACCCTACACTGTGGAAATCACTGAAGGCACTGTTAGATTTGATGACTCACATTAAAAAGGCTACGAAGCATGGCTACGAAGCATCGCCAAGGAGGCATTGCAAATTTTAGCACTGTCAGTCGCCGCTGTATTTGGTTGCTCTCAAGGGCTACAATTTGGGAAAAAGTTATCCCCACCACTTTGGCTCGAGGCGAGCCCGGGCGCACAGTGGGCCAGAAGACCGGAGGAGGCGGCCAAAACCCTAGACGCGTTTTGAGCTCCGGGGTCGCTAAACAGGGCTCCAACCGAGCGTGTGATCCCACCAATGGGTTCCTCGTTCGGAGAGCAATCCATTGGTGGGGTCACACGTTCGGTTCCAGTCCCATTAAGCGACTCCGGAGCTCAAAACGCGTCTAGAGTTTTGGCCGCCTCCACCGGTCTTCTGGCCCACTTAGGGGCGGCGGGGTCCGGGACCCGCCGGCTGCCCGGCTGACCCTGGCACCGTAATCCCCGGCCAAGCCCATTTTTTTTTGAAAATTCAATTTGCGTTCAAATCTTTGGCAAACTGTTTAGCGGGGCGTGTTTCTGGCTTCAAAATAGGCAGTCAACTAAAAATTCATGCAAAAATTTGGGTTTTGGACTTACGAGTTTGAGTTACGGTACATTCTGGCCAGTCGGCCATGCCCGCCAGGAACCTGGCACCGCGTCCAGATAGCGATTTGAGGCACTTGTTAATGTCGGATCGCGTTGAAATTTTGTGTCTGTTGTTCAAATCATGAGGATCTCCCGGAGTTGCGCCGGCCAAAAGCGTTCAAATCGGAGCATTTTATTTTTCAAACGGGAATGTATTTGGGAATCGCTCCCTCCTGGTCGGCGGCCAAATAGCGGCATGAATTTCCTGTCATGCCGACTTAGCACGACTTTTCTCATAAGACGCACTGTGCGCACCAATGCACATAGTGCATTCACGCCAGATGACGCCGTGACGCACACGTCACGCAATGTTTCATTATTTGGCCATGTGGCCGACCATTAAATTTTCACTGCGAGGCCCGAGGTACAAATCTGTCGACCCGTCGCCCTATCGGGCGCACTGACTTCGACGCGAGTTCCAACCGCGCATGGGGTCACCCACCGTAAAAATTCCACCGTCACTCCACGTTTTCCCCTCCGGGACAGCACTTCTCAGAAAAGAGGTCCCTCGCCAGGCCAGGCCTGACTCAGGCAAACAAGCGAGCCTGCACGACCCCCCTCCCCTCCCCTGCGGACGATTCCCCCGGCTCCCTCCGCGTTCGGGTGCGCTCGGGGAAGGTTCGGGCGCACTCGGGCGCCCAAGGCACGCGGCTCGGGCGCCCTCTACGCAGCCGAACCTGGCGTTCGGCTCGGCGCTCGGCTCGGCACTGCCGCCTGCCGTGCGTGCCGTGCGTGCCGAGCCGAGCCAGCCCAGCCGAGGCCGCCGAGGCCGAGAGCCGAGTCGGCAGTTGTCGTCCCGCGTCCGTCCGGTCCAGCCAGAGCCAGCGTCGCCAGCGTCAGCAGTCAGAGTGTCTCGAAGTGTCTCCTCAGCTCAACCAGGCAGCAGCGCTGCTGGCTGCTGCAGCCGTGTGACTAAATCTGTGCACACTGGAACGCAGGACGCAGCACGTTGGGCCAGCAGAAGACCGGCGCAGGCGGCCAGCACTCTGCACGCGTTTTGATTTCGGGAGTCGCCAAATGGGTCTCTAACCGATCGTGTGGCCCTAGCAATGGATTGCTCTCTGCACGTGGAATCCAGTGCTGGGGTCACACGTTTGGTTCGAGCCCTGTTCAGCGACTCCCGAGCTCAGAACGCGCCTCGAGTTTTAGCCGCCTGCACCGGTCTTCTGGCCCACTGTGCGGCAGCAGCAGTCGAGTCCGCCATCTCCGTTTCTAAGCATTTGCTTGGCAAGCGCACTCCGCTTCAACCTTGCACATGGTTTAGTTTGTACGACGACTGCAAGAAACTGCGACGGCGACTGGTGTTCGCACTACAAGAACAGTGTCCGGGTTTCCCAGGCGCACCTTGGGAAAACAGGTCATTTTCCCAGGATGGGCCTGGGAAACCCGGACACTGTTTTGGCCGTGGCTGTTTATGGCTGGTCCACACTCTATACGTTTATGGATAATTTTGAACGTGGTGATGCATAATTTTTAACTGCCGTGCCTAAAATTGTGCCTGTGTTTACATAAATTGTATGCACTGCAAAAAATCTGTGTCTGATACGGAGCATGCTACGGCGTTCCGTATATCCCCTGAAATGGTGATACGGACATCTGCAGTTCCACTCCTCCCATAAGAGCCTGTGCTTTGTAAAGCGTGGTACGGATCTTCAACGGAAGATGTACCGCTAATTTTGCACCGGAGGTTGCCGTTTCGCTTTTCTGTTAGTGAAGAAGTCCCAAATGCTCTACGGACTGTATGACGGCCAGTCCGTATCCCTACGGAGTGACCGTTTCATGCGTTTCGGCAGAGAAATTTGCGTTACGGAGCGTCCGTTCCTCGCGGTCCGTAGAGCACATTGGACTTTTTCACTGACAGAAAACTGAAACGGCAACCTCCGGTGTAAAATTAGCGTTACATTTACAGTTAAATTTCCGTAGCACGCTTTACAAAGCACAGGCTCCTATGGAAGGAGTGGTACGGCAGATGCCCGCATCACAATTTCAGGGGTATACGGAACGCCGTGGCATGCTCCGCATCAAACACGGATCTTCTGCGGTGTGCATGCCTCTTTACGCATGATATTATGCAACTTTATGTATGCATCGTTACGCATGATATTATGCAAATTTGCATAATATCATGCGTAAAGATGCATACATAAATTGATGCAAGTTCACGCACAATTTTATGCACGACAGTACGCAGGTTTAAAATTAAGCATCACCACGTACAAAATTGTACATAAAAATTTACAGTGCACGTCCAAACGATTGAGGCCGAGTGCCAAGAGGAACGTGACGTTGTGTCACATTTCTCCCAACATGATTTTGCGTTTCCGGTGTGCAAGTCCAGGCGCAGCTCTTCGGCTGTTCAGGAAACGGTGCTTGGGCTCGCAGAGGTTGCCCCAGTTCTGGTCTGGGGGGCCTGTAGGCTCTAAGGTCAAGTAGGAATGTAAGGCGTTTCCGCGAATCTTGAAACGGAAGGGCGAAGAACACAAGTGAGTGTACACCTTCCGTTCCCTCGCCTGAGGATGGCTGCCCCTTGAACAGCCGAGAGAGCGGAAGTTGTGCACTCACTTGTGTTCTTCGTCCTTCCTTTTCAAGATTCGCGGAAGTGTCATGTGGATCTGGATCATCTGGTGTGACGGCAGTTCGTCCGTTCTCTGGCCTCCGTCGGGCTTCCCTTCGCTCCTCGGCCAGCGCTATGCGACTGCCGAGCTCCACTCGATCAGCTGCGCTGGCAGCGTTGTTTGCTCAGCGCATTCTTCCCGCCTGAGTCAGTTTTGAGTTTGGTTCGGGCGCCGCACAGTGGGCCGGAAGACCGGCACCGGTGGCCAAAGCTCCCGACGCGTTTTGAGCTACCGAGTCGCTAAGTTGGACTCAAACCGAACGTGTGGCCCCACCAGTGAAGTGCGATCCGAACAAGGAGTCCATGGGTTGGCGTCACACGTTCGGTTTGAGTCGCTTTCAGGGACTTCTGAGCCCGTTCCCACCGGTCGTCCGGCCCACTGTGCGGCGCCTCGTTGCGGCGGAACGCAACACAGTGATGATCATAACTGCAGTGTTCTCACATATTCAATCATAGGAGCGCTCACTCACTACACTGCCAATCCAAGTGTGAGACAGTCTCACACTATTTAGTGTGAACCACGATGTCTCACGCTTCCAAGTGTGGGCCACGTGTGTCCCACACTTGCAAGTGTGAGACACGGTATGTCTCACACTTGCAAGCGTGAGACCCAGGTTGTCTCACACTTACGAGCGTGGGTCCTGTGGCACTAAACCACGGGGAACAATAGGCAGTAAGTGTGGGACAGACCGCGAGACAAATGATGTCTCACACTTGCAAGCGTGGGACAAACGTGGCTCACACTTGTAAGCGTGAGACATCGTGGTTCACACTAAATAGTGTGAGACTGTCTCACACTTGGATTGGCAGTGTAGTACACAACCAGGAGTCTGTGGTCACTTGAGTACACGCCCTCAACCGTACATTTTGCTCGGCCTGCTTATTCTTCTGGGAGTGCACCCTACCCGGGTAGAATAATCGTTCCGCCGCGGATCCGCCGCGAGAACAAGAGAACCGGTGTCGCACCAGGTGGAAAGCCCCCCCCCCCCCCCCCCCCAAGCCATCACTCTGAAGCGGCGCCCTGCCAGCTGAGCCGCCTGCGCCCCCGGAGTTGCCCATCGGAAACGTAACAGTGGAACAGTGAAACGTAACAGTGGAACTGGGCGTCCTGGGCGACGCGGGCTTGCTGTGCAGCGTGCCGGCCGGCGAACCCCCCAGGAGGTCTTCCCTGAGGCCGTCGTCCTTGTTCTTTGGTGTGTCTGTACTGCTGCTGCCGGGACGATCGGGTGGGGTGCAGCGGCAGCGCAGACGGCGGGTCCCGGTGCAGCTGCTTCGGTGACAGAGTCGGCCAGGGCGGCGGCGGCGTCGAGTTGCAGCGCGGGGTTGCCTCCCCTGGTCATGGCCGGGAGGCGCTGCGTCCAGAGTTGCCGGAGCAGCACGTCCCCGACGGCGTTGCCCGCCAAGGTGCGCATGTGGCGCAGGAGGGCGGAGGGGCGCTGGTCACCCAGGGCTGCATCCTGGGCCAGCAGCTGCCGCAGGCGCTGTTCCTGCGGGCCCGCGAGTCGGTCCATGAGCTCCTCCTTGAGTGTGGTGAAGGGCGTGTCCGGGGGCGGGGCGGTGAGGAGGTCCGTTACTTCCGCGGCCTGCGCCTCCCCGAGGTGGCGGACGACCACCCCGGCCCCTCCCCTGCTGCGTCTCGGCCCTGTCCCGGGTGTTGTAGAAGTAGTTTTGCAACGCCTTGTCCACCGCGGCCTCCGTCGCAGGGTGCTCGTAGCCCTTCAGGCCCAGGATAACCGTCCTCAGCAACTCGTGGAACTTCGGAAAATGGGCCCTGTAGCTCAGCTTCCACGGCATAACCACAACAAGTCCGTCCTTTCCTGAAACAAAGACAATAAGCTCAGCCCAGCCCGGTGACAATCATAAAAATGAAACGACCAGCCCACTCCCGCGATACTCACGTTTGGTGAATTGCGCCCCGTCTTCTTTATCGCCGTTGCTGAAGCCGGACCCAGTCTGGTTCAGCTGCCGCTGCACCGGCATCGCGAGGAGCCAGTCGATGACCCTCGACACCGCCTCCTTCGCATCCTTGCCGCCCCTGAAGGCAGCCTCTCGGGTGAATGCGTCGACGACGTCCTTCCGCACGAGCAGCTCCTCCATGTGAACCAGATGCCACATCTGCACGAAGGGCACAGGCACGCCCAGCAGGGACGCGAGGTTCCGTGCTGCTTGCTACTCGTCATCCAGGTCGGGTTCGGGTACGCCAGAGTCGGGTGGCCCAGGATTCTCCCCGATCCTGACGCATCCCCGGCAGAACGTGAACTTGCTGATCACAGTGCCGCGACTCTTCACCTGCCGATGAACGGGAAACTCCGGCCGGAACTGCTCCATGTACATGTTCGACCACCAGAGACGGAGTCCTTCAGCCCGCTGGAGCGGCGTCCA